CGTAATGAGCTCCACCCAGGCAGAGAGGAGGAGGAGGACAAAAAACTAAAATTAACAACAACAAAACCTGTAGCCAGCGTGGGCCAACCAGAGAGACACGGGGACCGTGACACTTCCTCCACTTCTGTACCATTGATTCATTAATGCTGTATTCTATCACAGCTGCTCTATTCCCATGTTGTTGCAGTATATGAATGACTAACCTCGTATTGTGGATGGATTATCTCAGTTGTTCGCCTGACTGAATTTTGGTCCGTTTACAGCATCCTGCCATAGGATTGCATTTGTCTCTAACCATCAGGAACCTTCACGTTAACTTTTATCAAGTGGAAAAGTGTTAGCGTTCATCCTCCAGCTTCACTGTTTATGCTATGCTAACATAGCTGTGTCGCTAGCGATCACGTAGCACATCATTAAATACCAGCTAGCCCAACTTCAGTAACCCTACAAACGTCACTGCTGTTTAGTTTTCTGTCTTCATTTATGTTGGAAGTGATAGCAGAGCCGTACGTTTGAATTTGTTCATAAATCTCTCAGTCAGAACATGCTATATCATGTTTAGGTAACTAGCGAAACTAGCGAGCTAACTTCCTGCTAACTTCTAACTCTGTTAAATTTCATAAATCCTGTTTTCATGGATGCCTGAATGTTAAACCTAATTCTTACACCTGGTAAAGCAGCAACGCTGATCATTTTATTAAAGATGAAATAATTTAGACAGTTTTTAACTCTCAGTGATGTCGCAGTGATCGTTTGACTTTGGACCTGAATGAGACTGAGTTTAGGACCCAGATTACTCCCAGATTTACGAGCACCTTAGACCGACAAATACGGCAATAACGACGGCCCGCTTGCATGTTGTATAAAAAAATGTGCTTTGGTGAGTATCTGACGGACAGACACCAAGCCAGTTCCACATCACTGAAGTTGCAGCATTTTTACAAACCAGTTCATCGATTTCGCTCAATGATGCGCTTTCCCCCTTCTCATTCTCCATTGCCGCCAAGCTTTTTCGGCCATGTGCGTATGAAAACAAAGGCACTGGGTATGCGTGTTTTAGCCATATTCTATCGCGATATTTTATTTTCTCAGCGTTGCCCAACATTATACCGGTATTACCGTGAACTGTATG